CCCATAACATCATACAACCTTAAAGAAACTTTTGATCCACAATACAACACCTCAGAATATCAGAATAAAATTGATTTCCTAATAACTCACAAACATCATATGATAACATATATATCCCTTTAACAACTATCAAAGAAAATGATACATAGGAAATTATACTCATCCAAATGATCTCAAACCTATCACCAAAAGAAAGCTAACAGGATAAGTTATCACTCTTATGAAGACTTGAAATTCTAAAATGATCATATACTTAACTAAAATTTCAAGAATTATAATAGATATAATCAGCGCTAATAGATAGACCTTTGCTCATTAAAATAATCATAATGAAAGTTCTAGATCTCCATTGTACCTGATTTTGGTGCCCTTGACAAGTTAACATCCAAGATTACAACTTTTATGAAGATCATAAAATTCAACTCTATCAATATAATACTCTATTAATATAATACTTATATTGGCACAATAAAACTGCAGCTAAGACATTTCCTGCATAGATCAGCAAAAGAGCGTACCAAAGTCTAAAGTCCCAAAAATACCTTAAAACACTTTCAAACCATTATTTAAGCTTCTTCCTACAATCCTAAACCAAATAACTTACATATTTAGCACAAAGAACTTAGAAACTAAAATAAAATCCTCATACAACCTAAATCATAAAAATCAATATGTAATTATCAAATTTAATAAATCATATAATAAGATTTAAAAGTAATAAAGGAAATATAAATTAATTCCAGTAAAGGTGGCAGTGCCTCCTAGTTAGGAATAATTTATAACCTCCAAATCATATAATAAAAATAACAAAGATGCACACTTTAGTCTTTTATCAAAAATATGTAAAACTCCAATTCTTAACATACATCCTCCTTGGATTCAATCGTTAAAAATCCGTTCTCGGCCACGAATTGGGCCTTTGGCCCACGAAAAATGGGCTGTTACAGTTATAATCTTTTTAATTTGTAACTATGGAGATTGACTTTGAAGTGGATTGCATGTTTAAATTGAGGTTTTGGTGTTCTTGATGAAAAGTTAAGAAATTGATTTCCTTGAGGTGTTGTTGATGCATATTTCTTTTCCTTTGATTTTTGAGGTGTATGTTGTTATAATTGGAATATTTTGAGATTGCATGCATGAATTATTGCATAAGTAGAGAGGATTTTGGAGATTAGGTGGTATTCATAGTTGTTGATATGTTCTTCATATATGTAGGAGTTTTTGGGTTTGTGAGGCTAAGCGTGAATTTTCACACTTAGCGTGAGAATTGGGATGTGCCTCTAGAAGGCTAAGGTTAAGCGTGAGTTTTCATGCTTAGTGTGAGAATTGGATATCTTTTGGAAGTTTGAGACTAAGCACGAGATTCATGCTCATTGTGAAAAAACAAAAAATTCTTATATAACTCTCTAGAAGTCTGATGCTTAGCATGGGATTCCACGCTCAGTGTGGAAATTTAGTCAAATAAATTTTTCTTCTAATTGAGTTGGTTGCTTACTTGATGGATGAGTTGTATGTTGAACAATTGTTATTTAAGTTATTTTATGCCTAAATGAGGACGAATAAGTTGTATGATGATGAAATCAATATGTTGAAAGTTGATATGTTGTATGACGATGATTATGTTGTTAGTTGCTAGTTGAAAGTTGAGTTGTAGGTTGTGTGGTTTTGTATCTATGTTGAATTTGCTAAATGCTTGACGTTGCTGCTTTATT